AGCTTCAATCTTTCATACCGACAAACGCGGTCTGACTAATTGAGCTGTTCACTTTGTTCGTCAACTCCCTCGATACGTCGAGTACCCAAAGGGATTGAGTAGCAACGGTATGTGATAGTGTCGAGTCGGGTCTTCCACTTCGAACGTGACGGTCACTTCGGGGTAGAGGAACTCTGTGACGCCATTGGCCTCAAAGTAGCGACCAGTGTCAAACACTATGCGATAGGTACCTGCCTCAAAGACCACAGCTTCCGGGACAAGATAACTCGCCACGCGTCCGTCGGCGTTGGTTCGCCCCTGGTGGACATGGACCCAAACGTTGTCACGGAGATGTTGCAGCCTCACGCGCACATTAGCAGCTGGAATACCGAGCGACGTATCGAGGACATGCGACGTCACGGGCGACTCGTAAAGACTCATTGAGATATGACGCTGAACTGCGGCGATCCGAGACGACATAAATTGGAGTGTCTAGCGGCAGGACAGTCGCATGATTTTTTCATAACGTTTACGGAATATTGTCACGAATGGTAAAGGATTGTCACGTTGACATTGGATATCTCGCATATGAAAGAATATGAGGGCGTGATGCCGAAGATGACGATATGAAGGGATAGTGTCATATCTTGATGGAATCTCGTCACGGCGATCGTGACTTGAGTTTTCAACAGCCGTCATGTCATTCACAAGCCAGTTGCCACTTTTGCTCCGCATATTTCAGACATACGTCAACTGTGCAGTGCGGTACCGTACGCTACGACAGAGTACCACAATGCTATGCCAAAACTCAGCTTGTCTTGGTCAAAGATGCTATTCAGCCCTTTTACCTCTTCATACATGTTCTCTTGAGCAATGCCGTCAGTGCTGCCAGACATGTTCAGGCGGTCAATTTCGTCAACTCTACCAGCATTGTTACCCTTTAGCAGGTCCATAACTCTTCTTCAGCGTCATCTCTGCAGTCCGTACGGAGTTGATCTGACACTGGCAAAACGTTGTATCACGTGCCAAGATATCGGCGATCGAGCTGCCTCAATCCCGACCATGTTGCAGTCCTAGTATCGACGTTTATCTGACCCAATCGAGCGCTGAGCGACAGCGAGCTCGTTTTTGTCGTCCGGTGGTTGCGGTCACACCCACTGCACCGGCGGGGATCTGGCACAATGCAGAGAGAGGTCCTTTGACGTATCCAGAGCACAGGTCGCAACTTAAGGTCCGAACATTCGAGGTCTCTATTGATTTTGTAACCGTCATCGTCATCTGTTTTTTTGGTGCGTGACGATTGTCGAGAACTCGCTTATCGTAGATCAACATCGGTTCTCGTCGCCATTCGCGCAACAAGCGATCAACGCCTCGACAGCTGGCTATTTTGGAGATCTTCAAGAGGGTTGCAGAAGTACTATTTCGAACTTGCCCGGGATTGTAGTGCGCATGTTGCTAGACATGAAATCAGCCGAATGTTTAAGACCGTAGTCCTTTTCATGAATGGTCTCGAACAGTGGAGAATTAGCGTAATCATCTGCTGGATGTCGTGCGTTAATTAGTAAGCGTCCGTCACGACGCAATTGGGCGTTCTGAGTGGTGCTTTATCACCACGTATCATGCATTGATGACTGAAGCGTATACTTCCCACCACCAATACGTCAAACCGGAGGCAATAGTCATGAAGACCGTCGCCATTGCAGCCACAAAATGGTTCAATAGGGCGTATCTGTATCCAGCGCTTTGAGCTTGTTGTGGTGAATCTAAATACCGTGATCAGCGCTACAGAGTTCCAGTTTCTGGCTGTAACGGGGCACGCTCTTGTTCAGATAATTGAGCAAGGTCTTGTACTATTAACAATACAAGGGTGCGTACGCCCGACGTCACGTACACGTGGCGTGGGGAAGCGCGACCAATTCAATACAGACCCCGAAAGCCCTATCTTGAGGGAAAAGTAGAACACTTATTTAATGTAGTTATGTTTCTTAATAAATCCTTCGTCTTAATCGAACTCTATTAAACTACTGTCTCCTATGTAGGTCTTCTGTCCACCACCCATTGCGCGCGTCCAGCAGCGATTGGTGGTTAAATTGGCTGATGTACACGGTACATCAACCAAGAAGTGGACCCCTCCACGGATTTTACCCTTAAAGGTAACATTCCGACAACATCGCTTTTCTCGAATGATGTAAATTGAATATAATCAAAATGAAGAATATTCCAAATTGGCACTTTCGTACCAATTTTTATGTAACGGGCTCCCCCGTCACACTGGCGCTATAAAGGACACCTCGCCTGCGCTAGTACACTGCCCGGTGATGAAAACGGTGCATCATCGGGTCTTGACGAAAAGTATGAGCACGTATTTCTCGTTTAGTTTTCACGTGCAAAGTTTTTCGAATGACTGTTGATGCGGTAATTTCGATCTCTTGCCCATTAAAATAACTTAACGCAAAAATTTTTAACTCTGGGAAGTCTAATTCGATGCCATGTATTGCATGAGGCGCAGAAGCGATAGTAAAAGCATAAAACTTCGCGTACAAGCAATTTTTGCTCATCTTGATCATGACGCACGATAGCTGCGCACGAAAAACCGAGGGACAAATGAATCATTCTTTCTTGGTGCGGATCTCTCCTTCTTCGAAATCCTACAATTTTTGTGTAATTATTCATTTCGACAAAAATCGATACCAAGAGCCGGATTACAAATTGATTTGAGCAGACGCAGCTTGCAGCGTAGCAACTTCTTGTAAAGTTCTGTGTGATCCGCTGCTTATCTCGACCCCAAAGTAATTGCTGGAGAATGTCGTATCTTCTGAAGCAGTTATGTTGGTATTTTGTTCTCTGAAAAAGCTCGTGGCACCTTCCAGCGTGAAACAAGAAGCACATGTTATTCTCATTTGAACGGTGTATTGCTCAAGACCGCTCCGTATTCAGCTCTCGAGATTCAGCACAATGGCGCTTTCGTAAGCGCTGGAGAGAATTTGAAAACCTCGTAGCCGCTTATCTAAAGTTGTTTTAATTAGCTGCTTAATAGGTGCAGAATGCATGACCGTATGATATACTGTGCGCACAAACAGCTGTTAAAATTTATTCCTCATCTGTCGAATTTGCGACAATCTACTTAGTGGCTTGACAAACTCAGCCTAAGTGTCATCTTTAGTATCCTCACGGCAAATTAAATTTAGAAACGAGAGCGTTTCGTTAAATTGTATAATTATCCATAGAGTTCATAGGAAAGAGTTGTCGAATCGTATAACGTATAACACGACACGACCAGCAGCTGAATCAAATCCAATACTAGACGCCGTTCGACTCCTATCCTATCAGCTATCTTAGCTGAGGGTGAAAGAGAGGCAATTCAGGATGAGGATTTACTGGTAACGTACGTGTATCAAATCACACAAAAATAATTTGTATAATTATTCCGAGTGGCGATTGTTGTTCCATAGTATCGTACCCCAAGTTCAGCATATCAACCGCACATACGTACGCGTAGCAGTCGAGCCTTGTCCGCTTAAAGGTAAACATATTTGCAACCAAATTGTTTCAGGTTCATAAAATATAGGGAACAGTCACTTTTCCTTCACATTTCTCTACACTGCAGCGGCTGGACTTGCACGCAGTCAGACTATTTCTGTACAAAAACTTATACAAAGTACTTATTTAGTAAAGTAGTGGACACACAAACAAAATTCGAACACTTGATCGCTTTTTTCTTTATTCATGTGTGCATTACAGCGGCGTTTGTCCCGGCACATTTTTCGTAATAGACACATCCTCAGGCATTGGTTACAGGCTCATCAGTTATCGATACAATACTGAAGAATGTTGTGCTTACCTAAGATGATTTAATGTAATGTACCTAATGAGGTTAGTTGAACGATATCGTCGAACTTGCATTGTGAAGAAACTCAGAACCCATATGATATAGATATATATTACGCACGCATACCAGAAGCGTTTATCTTAGCAACGCACCTCTTCTGCGGCTAACCGGTCGCAGAGTGAGTTACCTGATTCGTGCGGCCCATAATATCGCGACGAGTCTACCTCTGCACAAAATTCTTTCGAGCGACACCATATTCAGAATAGTCTAGTTCTACAAAGCAGACTTCACCGACGTAAATCTATTATTCATATCGATACGTGGTATAAGGTTTTTAAACACTGTAATTGAAGATAATGTATGCCATCGGACGATGACACAATTTGTGACACGGTATGGATTTCGGTACCTTATTACGTCAGGGGTCATTTCGTTGTAACAAAAGGAAGCATGCGTGTTGTAAAAGTCTGCTTCGTTTGTGATCAAGTACGCATGGTGGGACTGACATCGCACGTACCTAGCCATTAAAGTATCACGCTACGAATAATTAATCATGCTATTCAGACACAAAAAACTTTGACACGCTTTTAAGTTGGTAGTTTCGACATAAAGCTTGATGATGAGGCCTTTCTTGTAAATTTACATTCGTGGTGGGAAGACCCGCAGTTATAACGATCCTTCACATAATTTTTCGAGAGCTGAGCCTATTCGTACCATATTTGACTCATTAATTTGTTTTGATATTAAGTATCCTGACTACTCCTTGGATACAAATTTATTTTTCATGTGCGACAGAGGTAATGTCTTGTGTATTACTCTTACAAATCACCGCGATTTTGTCCTTGCGGATACTTTCGCCAGATTACGAGCTACATTCCATTTTTCGATCATAATTCTACATATATATAGGAATATAAGTTAATCGGCGCCTGATCGGTCTTGGTTGGTGCAGTAAGGATGTAAAGTAGCGGCTATCATTTCTATGCCGATCTACACGCTTTAATGGTTTAAATTTGCGATGAAACGCCTCATTCTATGAGGCGTCCCCCTGTGCTTGGCGAGCTAGATTTTAGCTGCGCACAGCGAGATACACATGATAGATTACGGTAACGATAAGAAGGAAGCGTGAGGGCTCACTTCTTTTGTATGCGGATCCCATCAGTGCACTGTTTGATAAGGGTTCTCGTTGCAAGATAAGCCAATAGGCTCATCGAGTGTCGACGTTTACGCTTCTAACCCTACAAATGTTCATCTTGGTGTAATAAAGGCTGCCTATTAATATTATAAAGGTTGCATTTGCCCTCGACCACAATGTGAGAGCCTAAAAACTTCTATTACTGAATTTTGATAAAAATGCGTCGGGAGAAAATGGCATGAAACCATGATAAATATAAGTAAATAACTCTCAGCGAGCAGCTGGACGACTCTCGGACCAAGCCTTTTTCTTATAGGTCATTTATTTTTACGAAATAGGATCACATTAAGCAACTGTTGCAAAATCACTGATTCACAAGCGTTCAGGAATGTTAGAAAAAACTTTTGATACCCACCGTAAATGTCGATGCGACTGCACATACCTACGTTTAGAATCTTACAAAATGGACGCGCTTAA